GCATGATATGTAAAAGATAGAAGGTAATTTAATAACTTTTACAAATAGATGGTAAAACAAATGCATATATGAACTATGAGTTCTCATATATATATATATATATATATATATATATTATGTATATGTTAGCAAGTTCCATTAGGAACTGGTGGACAATACACGACACATAGTATATTTATTAGGAACATGTCTCAATCATCATGAATATTGTAACATATTTATCATGAATGTGTATTCATGATAAATAAAACATCCAATAACATATCCATATTCATCATGAATATGTTACTCATGACGAGGATTCATTCTAAAGAGAGACATGACATTATAAATTGTTCTCCAATTCCTAATTAATTTTGGGTATCTAACAAAACTTTGTTTCATATAATTATATACAAGACATATGCTTACAATATATACATAATCTGGGCCTATATCGGACCTTTGTCTAGTTAAAGGAAGGGCTCATATGTTTACTTGATTGAACCCACACATATCTCTAAAGAAAGACTATTGAAAGAGAGATTGAGAAAACGATAAAAGACAAGAAAAATCCATTCATGAATCGGATCGACCCGACTGATATGATAGATGGAATGGTAGCTTGCATGATTATCGGAGGACCAACGCAGGAAGGCGAGCCCCCCCATCAAAGGTCTATATCTTACCTTTAAGAGCAGGTATTCATGCTTCATGAAAAAACTGAAGCAATCCGCTTCGCACTTTTATCCCTTTCTTTTTTTTGGGGAAAATTCTCAAAGAGACTACGACGAGAACCATGATAAGACAAAGGCGGGAGACTAATTGGAGACATAGGTGGTAGGAGGAGGAAGATGATAGACTTTCGAACCCGACACACCCACTGCACGATCCACTCATGTGCTATAACCAAATATAACTGATATATTCATTAATTTAAAACCAAACAAATAGAGCTTAAGATATAATCCAACTGTTTCCGAGATGACATACTTGCACAACACGAAGCCAAATATCGTTGTAGTGTGTCTATATATATATATATATATATATATATATATATATATACACGTATACAAATATTCATGCATGCATATATAGATGTATAAGTACAATACGTCCACTCCTTTAAAAAGAATACAATATGTCCACATTATTGTATGATTAGAGATAAAAATATTAGATAGACATGAATACAAATTACATTTGTAATATTTAAATATATAACTGATAACTGATACAAATTGAAAATCTATTTCACTAATCAAATGTGATCTTGAATAGGTTGAAATTGAATTCAAGTAATGTAACATCCAGATTTTTGGGCAAGTCTAATTTCAAGTTTTTATAAGTATTTTAACCATAAAATAACTTTGAAGAAGTATTTTAAGTGTTGGTTTGATTGGGCATCGTATTTGACGAAAAATCAAAATTAGTTGAGAATTTGCACCACTCGCGGCCGTGAGGTCTTTAGTTGCGTGGGTCCGAGTCCTTTACAAAGTTTGGGCCAAAAATGGGCCTGGGCATGGAACTCCTTAAAATCTGGTTTTTAGCCTTTTTCTTTATTACTTTCTTCACCAACTCACTTCTCTCTTCTTTTTCGACCCTTAATCATTGCCTCCTCCAAATCGAATTCTTCAAGAGCATCTAAGAACTTGGCAAGTAGAGATTCAAGTCTTGTGGGTTGAAACTCAAGATATTCATCTTCATCATCATCTTTTCATCATTGTTGACCATATTTTAGGGTTTTCTTAACAACCCATTCATGAGTTCATTTTAAACTTTTATACTTATCAAATAATTTATTGTAGTCTCCTAGAATATCCCTATTGGTGTATTTTACACATCTGTGGGTTTTGACCAATTTAAAGCATTTTGGGAGATTTTGAGGTTTTTACCTTTTTTGCTAGTAAATGGTGGATATCAAGTCTCAATATTTGTAAGCTAAAGATTTGTGGATTTGAAACCTAGGTTTCATTTAACATACCAATGTGAGTTTCAAGTTGTTTTGTGAAAACTTTGTACATGCCAAAAATGTCTATTTTGGAGTCTTAAGATGTTTTACTGATATTTAACCAATGTGTTGATTATCTGATGAAATTTACATTTTTGTAACATTTGATTTCATAAAATTTTAAAAAGTACATATATTTGCAGTCTTTCGATATTTTGATGATAATACATAAAGTTTGTGCGTTTTGATGATATACTTGTTATATAATGACTATTTGATGTTAATGCATTTCTGGGTATTTACATTTATAAGTCATTCAAAAAAATAAGCATGATTTAATTTGTTGGATTTTGTGGTGTTCTGGATCATGAGATTTATTAAACTCTTTAAATGTGTTTTGGGTTATGATGACTCGTTTTGGATTAGTTCGACAAGTTGAGGAGCATATTAGCTTGGATTTGAGAAAAATACTCGTTTCGGGATTCTGGTCTGACCTTTGAGTTAGTGATGATGATTTAGTGTATAATTAAGTTGCTTAAATGTTGAGTATTTGTAAGTCATTGGTTTATATTAAATTTATTTGAATAGTCAAGTGAGTCTTCAAGTTTATTTGGTTTGATTTTAACTCAAATGAGTTTTAAGGACATTTGTCTTGTTTAAATTGCTCAATGTTGAGTTTTGGAAGTGATATGCAATTATAACATCTTTAATTGGAATTACATGTTTTGAGTGTGTTTGTCATTCAATTGTAGTCATGTAATTTAGATTGTAAGCAATGAATCCATAGACATAGAAGTCAGTTTTGAATGGGATAAATATTCTCGTATTGTAACTAGAAATAGACATTTGGTCTTCATAGGCATTATTGATGCTTTATTTATGGTTGTGTGAGTTTGTGTTTTGGTTTCATATAATATGGGCAATTGAGTTATTGAGGTTTCATCACGAAAATGGTGGGTTCTTGGAAGGATGCTACTTTTATATTTAAAAACATTTCATTTGAGAAATTATGTTTTAAATAAGCAGTCTCTCGGTTGTGTTATTTTTATAATTATGATAAAAAATACTTGAATTCACTAAGTGTTAAGGCTAACATCTTTTATTTGTTGGCATGTGCATCAGGTCCTTGTTGGAAAATGATACTAGTGATATTGTGAAGAGTTGAGTACTAGTTAGATACACGAGAAAGAAATAACTATTTGGGAACGTGTTCTGCATTTTGGAATAACGATTGCATTTGAGTTTTATTAACACCCGACCTTGGCTTAGATATTATGTGAGATTTGGTTTGTTATTTTGTTGATGTTGAATACGGACTTCTTGTTTGAGGAAATCAAGTATTGATTTGTAGAAAGGAATTGACCTTTTAATTGATGTTTTATCAAAAAAAAAAAAATTAATCGCTCTTCGAGATTTGAGGGTTTTACAAGTAACATCTATGCTACAAACCCATATATTTAACTGGTTTTATAAAAATAGGATCTTTAACATTAAAAGTTTGAACTAAGACAATATGTATGAAAATCTAATGAAATTTGTCTTAATTCATGTTCAGTGTAACAGTGAATTTTAGTTAATGTAACAAACGTTCGTTTTTTTCTTATTTCGTGCCAATTTTACATGATAAACAGTTTTTAACCCATGTTACAATTGCTTGATTTGATGTGAGATTGTATCGTTTCACAACTTGTCATCCACATCACAGATAATCACACAATTTACGTGTTAGTAATCAAAATATGTACGAAATAAAAATAATTGGGCCTTTTTTTCAAATTATTTCAATAAATAGAAATGAAAAATGGACGTCGTTTTATTTTAGTACATTTCAATTAGAATCACTTATTTATTTTCAGTTTGAGAAATTAATAAAAGTAGTCAAATGGCTCACTCATATTCACTTTATCCTTTTTTTTTCAATTGGACCAAAATGGCCAAGATTTTATAAATGACCTTTTAATAACTTGCAAAAATGTACTTTTTCTTAATTAGATTAATGTAGTGACATCGGCTTGTGAAATATGCTTGACAGTCTGCCAACAAGGGCAGACATGTACCTTTGAGCAGCTCCCCTGTACTTGTTCAATTTACTTTTGCTAGTAGAATTTTTTTTAGGGTATGAAAAGTGCATCTTTAAGGGGTGTTCCAGGATGTTATAAAATGGAAGGTTTATCAACCAAAAAACCGAAAAAATATCTTGAAAAATCAACCAAAAAAATATCTCAAAATCGACAAAGAATATGGAAGCATCTTTTGAAATCAACCAAAAACTATTTTAAAAAAATACCTTAAAACAGTGGAATTGAAATAAAAACATATCGGGCAACTTTATGAGTTTTTAATTCACCTTAAAGATGCACCTACTCAACAAAAATCATGAATACTTACAATATATCTTTTATGGCTTATGAAATGACCTAACAGACTCATATTATAATATAAAAAATACATATAAATTTTGAGATCGAAATTTACAAAATCTTGTCCGGGATTGCTTACTTAAAACAACTTATGTTTTCTTACAAAAGTCCTTATTAACTTATTATAAGTTAGAATAGTTTAACTTATTCAAAAACTCCTTATTACCGGTTTGACACAATTATAAGTTGTTTATCCAAACACTTAAAAATGTTTATTACTGATGTTACACTGAAATAAGTCAATAAATTATTTTTATAAGCAATCTCAAACACCCCTAAAACAAACCAAAAGAAAAGAAACGGAGAAAATAACAAAAGGAAGTCACTTAACTAATTGGTTTTGCCGTTTTGCATTTTATGGGGGGAACGGTTCCAAGGGTAGACAAAAATCATGTGGTTATTTGTCAAGGGTTTCTAGAATGGAAATGGAATGAATTCAAAGCCATTGGGCTACACATTGCAGTCCCTATCAAGTTTGCATCCAATTCCCATGAATTTTGGAGCAAAAAAGTCGAACACCGACTTCTTTCACGTGTCTCTTTCTCTTGCATTTGTCATTGCAATCGTGGATGTATTTCCATCAAGAGAAGTTTCCCTTTTCTTCCCTAAAACCCTTAACCAACCCCTCTCTCTCTCTCTTCGAATCATAACATAAACCCTAAAAAGTCGCCTGAACATTGAAGATCTTCTGGGTTTTAATGGATACGGGGTTTCTTTGAACAAGGGGAATGAATGATTTCAGGAAAAAATTGGGGGTGGAAGGAGGTGGGTATCGTTATTACGGGATATGCACCGCCGGCGGAATGTTCAGTGCCGGCGCCACCCATCTCGCCGTCACCCCTCTCGATGTCTTGAAGGTCAATATGCAGGTCAAATACTACCCTTTCTATGGATTCTTGGTTTTGCATCGTTCCTTTATGATTACCATTTTTATAACAATTGTTCAATCGGAGTTTTTGAAATACCAATGTCTTGTTCATGAACTGCAGATCATCTTCACAGTCAATTCTGCAAAATAATTTGATTCTAATTGAATATAAAATGACACAATGTCCTCAAGTTTACAATTGTTTGACTTAGATCATACCCAAATGCACCTCGTTCAAGAATGGACTGTGGCAAATTGGTGCACCTTGGCTTTTTGAGGGGCAATCCTTGTTGCATCTTTTATTATTTTCCTCATATGCCCCCGTGGCTTTAACCTAGCCGGTAAGGATGGTGGGCGTCATTGCAGAATGAATAGATATAACCTGCCCCCACAACCATGATGATCATGGGTCATACTCATATTCTTCATAGATGTGTTGAACTTGCAATGTTTGGGTCACAAATGAGTAATCTTTGTAACTGAACCTGAATCATAAACCCTAACCCCTAATAATACTTGGTAACCAAAACCGATTTCAATTCAATTCAGGTGAATCCAATCAAGTTTCACAGTATTGCGTCGGGTCTGAATATTCTATGGAAAGAAGAAGGCCCTTCGTCTCTATGGAGAGGTTGGTCTACAAAACTATTCGGCTATGGTGTTCAAGGTGGATTCAAGTTCGGTCTCTATGAATTCTTTAAAACATGTTACTCAGACGTGTTGACGGGCGAAAGGCCAAGTGTCGTATTTTTCCTCAGCAGTGCATCTGCTCAAGTATTTGCCGATATGGCGCTTTGTCCGTTTGAAGCTGTCAAAGTTCGTGTTCAAACGCAGCCCAATTTCGCAAAGGGATTGTCTGATGGCTTCCCGAAACTATATGCACTAGAAGGACTTTCTGGGTATGTAATACTCCCTCGGTCCCAAAACTTTCCAATTCTACCCTTGATTATGAGATTTCTATTATTAAGGGTAAAATTGTCATTTAGTTTATTAAACAAGGAAGAATTACGTATTTCTAAAACTGTGTCCCCTTTTTTTTGTCGTCGATGCAAAGGGAGTAATAGATGTGCATGAAGAGCTCCCAACGTGCAATGATTACTTGCAGTTTCGGCAAGTGAGCATTGAACGGTGGAACTACGTTGCAACACTTTTTTTGGATACAAATAATTGATTTGTATCTCATTTATCGTAATCTTTGCTTGTCTATTTAATAAAGTAACAACTCGTTTATAAACGATTTCAGCTTTTACAAGGGACTCCTTCCGCTTTGGGGGCGTAATCTTCCATGTAATATGCCTTTGTCTTCGCGTTCTTTAAGTTAATTTGTTGTTTATATATATTTTTCGCACACACCTTTTGCAAGCTGGAGGTCATCACGGAAACAGTCGTTCTACATTTTGGGGTATAGGAGCGATCTGTTAACCGGTTCTTTGTCTAACATGTTTTCTTTGCCGAAAATTTGTGATTTGGCAGTCTCGATGATCATGTTTTCAACATTTGAGCATTCAGTCGACCTTATTTACCGCAAGTTTGTTCAGAAGAGAAAGGAAGAATGTTCAAGGACTCAACAACTAGGGGTGACGTGTTTGGCAGGGTATACTGCCGGAGCCGTGGGTACTGTAATTTCAAATCCAGCCGATAACATAGTGTCGACTCTATATAACAAAAAGGCCAACACGGTGCTGCAGGTACGTTACCTTTTGAACTTGATAAACGAATAAGATATCAAGCGTAATAATATGGGAATCGTTTACAGGCTGCAAGGAGCATTGGGCTCGTAAATTTGTTCACTAGAAGTCTTTCTATAAGAGTTGCACTCGTGGGACCTGTTGTGACGCTCCAATGGTTTTTCTACGATACCATTAAAGTGTTTAACGGACTGTAAGTGTCTCTCTGATATTGAAGTTTATAGAAATGTGGATAACAACTAAATTGACATCCATAGCTGTGATGGATCATCCCCTAAGGGGCCGTTTACCAGCATAAATTGGGTAAATACTAATCGGGTCGGTATTAATGACTGACCGAGTAAGACTGTGATCTGGGTCCCTCCCTTTAACTTACCAGTCAGCATCATGGACCGGTAAGAGGGGCTTGGTCAACAACAGTATCTCTTCTGACCATGTAGATGCCTCTTACCCAATAAGAGGCGGTAAGCAGGTAGTAATCACCCCCTGAGACTATATATTGTGTAAATGTTATAGGCCAACAAGTGGAGGGCTTAGCAGAGGTATAGAAGGTGCTGCATGAAGAAACTTATAATCATCAAGAAGAAGCAGATGCGGTTATATGCCACCCCCCATGTCGATATTGGCATTCCGTTTTTGGAAATGGGGATTTGATGGGTGCGTTTATTGCTTACCCGAAGTCGTTAAACGGCCATTTCGTATCAAACTCGATAACAGGAAACATGGATGTTGTTTTTGTTATTCAGAAAACTTGTAATTGAGATGGATGGAGGTTTATGGAGTGTAATTCAATAAAGAAAATGGTATTCTTTGTATGTAGTGCTAACTTGATGGGATAGAGAGAAACCTCTGGTTTGTATCTAAGGGTCATTAAATTTGAGTGGTTTGAGAACGATAAGGGTGGTGTCCGATTGGTTTGAGCTTGGGCTCCAAAGGTCAAAAGTGTCTGGAGGTCCCAGCTTCGAATCTGAGGAGGAATAAAAATCCCCTTATGGGTCACGGATATTCAAATACGGTGACTCCGGGCCCGCGAAGCGAGTGATCATCCTAAGATTAGTCGGCTCACATGGCGGGTTGGATATTCATGTTAATAAAAAAATGATCATTAAATTTGAGTTCAGTAACAATTATATTATCATTTTTAATGTAATTTTGGTTTAATTAAGTATAGATGTTTAACTAATGGAAACTGCATAATAGAAATTTTAGAGCAAATTAAAAACCTGAAAAAGTTGTTTTAGAAACATATTTAAAGATATATAATTGAAATTAGTTTATTTAGTTGTCTTAAAGTCTTAAAAAAAGTTGTTTATTTAAAAGTTTATATTTTGATACTTAAAAAATAAGGGCGTGTTTGGTTTGCTGGATTTGGAGGGATTTGGATTTGAAATCCATTCCAATCCCACGTTTGGTTTGTAGGAATGATAGGATTTCAAATCCTGGGATTCACTTGAAATCCCACCAACACTAGATTTGAGAATCCTTTGAAAATACATGGGATTTTGAAATCCTTCATCGCTTGCCCGACTCATCGCTGTCTCCTCCATTGGTACCGATTTCTACCTTCATCGCTGTCTCCTCCGTTGCCCTTCGTCTCCGTTGCTCACCGCCGCCGTCGCCCTTCGTCTCCGTTGCCGTCGCCATCGCTCTTCGTCTCCGTTGCTCACCGTCGCGTCGCCCTTCGTCTCCGTTGCCACCGCCGTCGCCCTTTGTCTCCGTTGCCGTCGCGTCGCCCTTCGTCTCCGTTGCTCACCGTCGCGTCGCCCTTCGTCTCCGTTGCCGTCGCGTCGCCCTTCGTCTCCTTTGCTCACCGTCGCGTCGCCCTTCCAGGTAAATCCCTTTTCCCCTTTTCCCCTTTTCGATTTATCTCTACATTATGAACACAAATTAGGTTAAATGCTTCAATTTTGACAGATTAGGTTGAATATACATGAACATAGATTAGGTTAAATGCTTCAACTTTGGCAGATTAGGTTAAATGCTTCAATTTTGACAGATTAGGTTAAATGCTTCAAATCCAATCCTGCAAACCAAACAGATGATGGATTTTAAATCCAAATCCCATGGAATCCAAATCCCTCCTGGGAATCCAAATCCCTCAAAAACATTTCTGCAAACCAAACGCACCCTAAGAGGTTAAATGTATGAAATAATAACTTATTTTTATAAAAAAAATTATTAATAGCATTATACTTTTATTTTTCTTTATTACAATAATATATTTTTAAATTATTTTTTACTAGGGTTTTATATTTTGAAAAATCTACCCGTTATAGCAACGGTTGATCTGTTACCTTTTAAACCAGTTAACTCTTTCATTTTTTTTTGTTTCTTTGGTTTAAATGACGTAATGCAGATGACAAATCATTTTGATAACCGACTAAAACTTAAAAAGACAAAAAAAATTCTTTCAAATTATTTTTAACGATTTTCACAATTCATTGTTATGATTTAAAAAAAACATTTCAATTTTTTTTATATTTTATTATTAACTTGTATTCAAATTAAATATTCTAGAGTAACTATTTCTTAAATAAATATGATTTATTTTTTAGATAACTATTTTGTTTGTAAAAAAAAGTAATACTTTTTATTTTATTTTGTTCATAAAAATATACATCTTTAAAGCCTTTCTAAAATGTTTTTTAAAATGTTAGAGAGATAAATTGTGCTCTATAAGCTTTTTAATGTTATTATATTAATGAATAATTTAAAAAATTAATTTAATATATTTATATGTCAAGTAAATTTTTTAAAATAAGTATAATATATTTTTTTAAAGATAGATATTTTTTGGTAAAAAAACATAATAGTTCCTTTTTTTTCTTAAAAAATACATATTTTTTTAAAAATGTAAACGAGATAAATTGTGTTTTACAATTCTAATAGTTTTCTTAATATTAGTATGTGAAAGAATTAATTTAGAATTTTTCTAATTCATTTAATATATCTATTAGATATAATTAAATTTTTTTCAAAGTATAATTTTGTAATAATAAATGTCACGTCAACAAAATTTTACATGTGAATATCATATGTGGACAATGACATGACATGGAAACCTGATAATTTATGCCATGTTATAAATTCAATTTTTGGAGACTAAACTTTTAATTAAAGTTGAGGATTAGGAACAGAGATCATGTAAACATGTTTGATTAAATGTACAATATTTAGATAATAAAATATTAAAACTAAAATTACAATGTTGTAATAAGAACTGGTGATGCTATAATAAAAGAATTTTGAAACTACAATGTTGTAATAAGAATTGTCATGTCAGCAACATAGTATATATGGACAATCTTCGCGAACAGTGAGGTCGCATGGAAATTTAATATAATGTATAAATTTAAATCAAAGGTTACCCAACGTTATAATAGGTAAAATTTTCAAAGTACAATGCTCTAATAAAAAGTAATTTAAAAGTATATCGTTGAAATAAGAAAAACTGAAAATACAATGTTAATTTATCCGCCTATTCTTTCTAGTCGAGCCTCTCGGTCAACCTTCTCAAACAAGGGATCCATTCGAGGAACATGGGGACTTGAGAGGTCCACTAAAGATCAGAAATTATTGAAGAAACAATAAGATATTTAATAAAAAAAATTATGAAAATAGGTTGTTATTTTTTGCATTTTGTCCAAAATAATAAACTATAAATCTTTAAATATATAATTTTCAAACAAGATATTTTAAAAGGAGTTTTGTTGTTATTTTTCTCCATAGCATTCATCTAGGGGGTGTTTGGGATTACGTATAAAAATAATTTATTGACTTATTTTGGTGTGACATCGGTAATAAACACTTTTGAGTGTTTGGATAAACAGTTTATACCGGTGTCAAACGAGTAATAAAAAGTTTTTAAACAAGTTAAATCATTATAACTTATAATAAATTGATAAGAAATTTTGTAGAAAAGTATGAGTTGTTTCAAATAAGCAATCTCAAACATCTCCTAATACAAATTTGATCTTGCAATTTCTGATTTTGGTCCCTTCCATCAACAAATGTTACCAAATTCTGTTAAACATGGCGGTAATTTGACTATTTCTTATTTTCTTTTTAAGAAATAATATATATAATAAACTTAGGATAACATTAGACCATGATGTTTTCGTGAGACCATTATTTTACATTTAAAATTTTACATCAAAACAATGTGAAGGTAACCTTCATAATGTTTTTCCTGTGAAGGTTCAAATTTTTATACCTTCACAATTTTTTTAATGAAGTTTCAAGCGTGAAAATGTGATATCACGAAAACAGACTGATTTCACGTGAACCTAACCATACATAGGGTTGGGTTCACGTGAGACCAACATGTTTTAGTGAGACCCGTGAGACCACTTTTCTACACTTGAAACTTCACAGCAAAACGTTGTGAAAGTAAAAAAAATAAGCCGAACTTTTACAGCAAAAACAATGTGAATGTTACCTTTACATCATTTTGCTGTGAAGTTTCAAGTGTAAAAAAAGTGGTCTCATGGGTTTTATAAAACATGTTGGTCTCACGTGATCCCAAGTCTTTGTATGTATATATGCATACATATATATACATACATACATACATATATAGGGGAGCGTTCAAATAAAAACACTCAATTTGTAAAAACCATGAAAACCTCATTCAACCAATCATAATTTTTTCATTTTTTTGTAATTATGAGAGGTTGATTAACCATTTTTATTGTGGAGAGTGTTAATCATGGATATTATCATATTCATTATTTAATTTTAGAGAAATACATGAAACTGTTTCATTAAAATTTCATTAAATATTATATGAAACAATTTCATAATCATATATGAAACAAATTCATCAAAAAAATATTATATGAAACAATTTCACAACATTAAACAATTTCATGAAAAAAATTCATAAGATTAAACAATGAAATCGACGTATKAAGGTGGTTTGTACGGTTTTTACAAATGAGAATGATTTTCATTTGATCGCTCCTATATATATACATACATACATACATACATACATACATACATACATACATACATACATACATACATACATACATACATACATACATACATAGTGGAGGTTTATTTACAAACCATATAATTTATACAAACTAATCATATCATCCATTGATCTAGGACTAATATTGAGGGAGATACAGAGAGCTTACACTTTCTTTCCATCGCTGAGGCCCTTTCTATTCTCAAAAAAAAGAATAAACGAACCTGATCAGGCAACTCCTAGATGAGGAGGAGGCTTGCAACTTCGCTCTACAGAAGGAAGACACATGCCCGGTGTTGGAAAGTCAAAGTCTAAACTCTTCT